AAGCTTGAGTTGGGCATCTGCAGACTTATGGATTAGCCTTGTTGGAGTAGAGAATGTATCCCAACGTATGCCCCGATCATACAGACACTCAAGCTTCGAAATCGATCGTATAGATCGATTTCGAACGATCACATGTCCAAATCGAATCGATCGTCGATCATATCGATCATAGCCTGCTCTACTTATCCCCATCTACGGTGATTCTGCCTACTAGCTGGAGAACTTGTCTCCAGTTATCTCCTTCCAGTAGACCCAGAGGTAAGTGTGGTTGATAAATGCCAGCCTTACTCCACGATCGGAGGCATTGTGCCATGCCCACTATGTGCCGTCCCAAGCGGCATCTGAGTGGTGTAACCATCCTTCCGCAACTACTGAAATCTCTCTCCGTTTCGGCGGAAGATGACGCAATGATAAGGAAGTCAACTGCCATGTATGAGAGTTGAGGAAATCACACAGCGCCAACGTCTCTCCACCAACCAATCGGGTCGGTTTTGTACGCCATGTTGTCTACTGGTGGTTCAGAGAGGTATTGATCAAGTTCGTCTTGTGGTGACAATGAGATTGACTGCTTTCTCTGTTTGCTTTGTGGCCCCTGAGCGTCTGCACGAGCTATCGATCGACTAAACGCCAGCCAACGCTCGATATAATCCAAGCCATCTTGGCTTCCGTGTGCTGAGATTGTATTGTAGGCTAGCTCATGAGCCGTGTTCTTATACTTTGTCTCCCAAATCCTCCTCAAACTCCCTGCATACGTCCTCTTCCATTCAAACATCTGACGAGACGGAAGCTGATTCCATAGCTGCTCTAGAGTTCGCCATTTTTTACACGGGTGAAAGACAACCGCAGCAACGTAGGCGGTGGAGGTTAGTTTACTGTAGTAATCATTCAATTTCTTCCAACCGAGCTTTACGTAGATCTTCAACAGCCTTCGAGTTTTTGCGTCCATATCGTCGAACAAGTGAACTTCTTCCATCATCTGATCATCGTTCTCTTCGATTACGACGCCTTGAACGGCCAGCTCGAGATGATCAAGGAGCATCTCGACGACCTGAAAGTACTCATCGAAGCCTCCCGATGTTGAGCGTTGACCAGGAATGCCAGCCCCCCTGGAGCTGCTTTGAGGCAATCTTAAAAGGTTGGAGAATCTTTTGAACCGCAGTGACTACCTTCCAGTCCTCAAGTGAAAGCTTTTCTTTTAATATTGCTGGCCGGTCCTGTTCTTTGCCGCCTTGGCTAACCCATCTTTCCTCCACTATGGACAGCATTCTGTTCAAAGCGGATCGTTTCAGTAGCGCTCGAGATGCCATTGCCTCATCAGACTGCCAGCGAGTACAGACGTTCTGGACCCACGTAAGTACTGGTTCGTCGGGAGCGGTTTGCCGCTGAGCTTCGTGAAAGTCCTCGAGAAGTTGGCTGCTCGTTCGAAGGGCAATGCCTATATTGTGCAGCTTGCCAAACGGGCCGAACTTGCGATACTTTTCCATCGTGACGGCATCGACCATTTCTGGAACTAGGCACGAATCCTGGCTCTCACCCGACGTAGTGCTCAACTCTAAATCCTCCTCCGGAACCGGCGCGTCAAAATCGTCGTCGCTTTTCAATGCATTAACAGCGTCGGATAACTGAAGGCGTTCGTCCTGTTCAGTCATAAAGTCCTGATCACCCCAATGCGCAAGCAGCTGTCAGAAATACGGTGGCACAATATCACTGCAAAAAATCTATTCTTCAAAGTAAAGTTGAGTTCGTTGTTCTTCTTCTCTAAAACTAGAAGAATTTCATCATAAATAAGGACCATCAGAATCCTGCTGCCTGCAAGGCAGCAGCATACTGAATGCTAGGTGGTAGCACACAGTGCGATTCAGCGCCACAAATCTGACAGCAGCTCAGCAAAATTGTCCTTTTTACCACCATACATCATTGCCTCTACTGCAAGGTTGAGGAAATAGGGAGCGCAGCGAATACGACGTTCGTATTGGTCAAAATCAAACTCATACGCAAGTGCCTCCATAGCCGTATCGTTATTCGTTGCGTTATCAAGCGTAAAGTACCCGATTCTATTCCGAAGGCTAAATGCACAGATCGTGTCAGCAACTTCGTCTGCCAAGGCTGCTCCGGTATGGCGCTTTCGGAGAGCAGGTAATGCCAACAGAATCCTCCATTGTTTCCAATTCCGGTCTATAAAGTGAGCATTAACGCCAAGGAATGATGTGTTCTGTCGGGAAGTCCAGCCGTCAAAAGTAAAGTGAATCATGCTTCTCGCTTTCTGAAGAACTTTTACGGGGTCAAGAGCTCGATTGTACTCCTTTTCAAGGAGATTCACGAGGGTCCTGTCGCTTGGTATCTGCCCTTCCTGAAGACAAGGGTTGTTGTAGAGTAGCAGTCGCTTGAAACGCTCGGAATTAACCAGATTAAAAGGGAGGTTGTGGTAAGTAAGCCAGTCCAGCAGGAGTAGCTGATTCATCGCTGGATCAAACAAAGTGTGCAGATTGCTAAGGAGACTCTGGTCTCGAGGGTTTTTCGGATCAGCGCGCAGCATATCAAGCACGTTTCGTTTTGCAGCTCCAGTCCCAAGAGCTACTTCTTCATGTGAGCCAACAGGTTGGACGACCTTGTGTTCCTTTCTAAGATGGCGAACAATACTCCCAGCGGTTGAGGCGATGAACGTATAACGCGCGGCTTTCGTTTTGTTGCGAAGGAAGCATCTTTCGCAGACCCATACGATCTTATGAGATTCGGACCCGTGGTCTTTCATCCTGAAGCCAAATTGCCACCACCATGTCCGCTCTCGAGAAGGGTCATGGCATGCTGTGAAGTTTGGAAATCGCTTGAATCTTTCGGTGGTCCACATCTGATAGTCCGGAAACCTGCTGGGCTCATGCGCGCTTGAGGTTGAATTGGTCGATGGTTCGGAAGGCGGCGGTGTCGAGGAAACGTTATCCGTCTCGTCGTCAAACGGGTCCATTCTCAGTTTTCGAACAACTCGACAGGGCCACGATGTGCAATATAATGCAGATATTAGCAGTGAGCCCTTTTAGTCCACCCCCTTTCTAATTAAGAGTATTGGCCATGTCTCAAATTCATTTGCTGTTGATGCCAATAGCACGTGATTCAACAGACTGTCCGTTGTCTCACATGGGTTTCTTCTGGTTGGAAATCAGCGCCTTCGCTGCATTGGCCATGGGCCTACCCGGAACCTTTTTCCACATATCCCGATCGACGATCAAATCGATCGACTGAGTGCTGGATCGATATCGATCGATTGAAGATGCTGATCGATATGATCGAAATCGAAATCAATCGATTAATCGATTCGATCATATCGATTGATCGATCGATTTCGAAGCTTGCAGACACTGAAATGATACAGCGTTGACAGCAAATGTAGGACAATATGCAGCGTCCTTGATTCGTAGGATGCCAATTGATCCATCAGGTCTTATGACTGGTAAATGGACTCGCCCATAACCTTCGATTTTAACCTCTGAATCACCAGCAATCAGGTAGTGTTCCTGTCCGGATTCTGGTTTTCTTATCGATTTGAACCTAGCAAGTTCGTTGAATATATCCAACGAAGCTCCAGAATCAAGGATGGTTGACGATCGTAAGGGATACTGGTCAGCTTGCAAGCAGGTTCCTAGACATATTGGAAATGCGGCTCCTTGCTGTAGTGCCTGGCCAACGATTCGTCTATCCAAGCTCGATTTGGCTGGTTGTCAATTAAATGACACTTGCTTTTTCTCTTGATCTAGTTCGACCTGGTCTTTCTGGGCTGCCTTTCGAAGTTCTGCCACCTTGGCTCTTAGTTCCGGGTCAACAGCCAAGGTTTTCTTCAAGAGGTTTTCTCGACGTTTATTTGCCGTTACTCCCTCTGGCCGTAGTTCTGGGATAGCTACCCAGCACGAGCTTAGATCATGCCCCGGTAGTCTGCAAGCTTCACAGTTCATGGCATGTTTCTTGTTACTGCTCTCTTGATTGTCTGTCCGTTGCCTCTTCCGACTAGACGGGTTTTTAGTTAAACTTTCAGTCTGATCACTCTGTTTTGTGTCGGCCTGGAATGCTGTTCCTCGCCTAATTGACGGCTTCGATGGTTGTGTTGGGAGAGCAGAGCTAGCCCAGGTTCGTAACTTGACTGCTACGCTTCCAATTGACCATTCCTTGCTTGCGTCCGTGGCGTTTGGAGGCGTATGGATTAGAGCTCCTTGAATCGCCAATGCTGCTTCTCGTAACCTGCCGTGATCACTAAGGTCATTTAGTTGTAATAGCTGCTGTACCCCTTGCTCAACGGCTTGGTTGTAATCTCTTGTTTTTACAACAAATGACTCTGCAGCTTGTCTGCAGTTGTCGGTGAAGTTGCGGTTATGTTTGGCCATTAAGCGGGCTATGTCGAATAACCAACGACCGCCGGTGACCTCAAGCATTCGACGACGTGCAGCTTTTAGTAGAAAGTTTTCCCACTTCCAGATCCATTCGCTGAAAGTTGTTGAATCGGTGCAGCTGAATGACTTGATGATCTGCTGGTACTCAATCACAAGTGCATCTGTTGCTTTAGTCTGCTCAGCATTGACCGCTACTGCTAGACTATCAATCCATCGGGGGAGATCATCGTCTTGATCAAGATAACGACCTAATCTCTCATCCACATGGCTGATGATAATACTCCGACCTAATCTCTCATCCACATGGCTGATGACAACACTTTTGGCCTTGATAAGATTGGTTTTCTGTTGCTCATACTCCTTGGAGCTGTCTTTCCAATTGTCACGGGCTAGTCTGAAAGCATTGACTTGAGATGCCGAAAGATTGACTTCAGTCTGAGCGTTTGCGTTAAAGTCAGATACTTGCGGTCTTCTTGGCTTTCGGAGAAGCACTTGAGTTCGATTTGCAGGTTTAATCGCTTCCCAGATGTCTATATCAATTAAGCTTGCAACAAACTTCTGCCAGTCGTCCCAATTGTCGATCCCCGTGAGGATAACTTCAGTCTTGGAAGGTGGCATTTTGCACTAAATTATTCAGAAGGGATTGATTTCACTTAGCTAACTGTCTCACGAACACTGTTCTTGTGTTCTGTCGATGTGCAGTTTTTCGCAGTGTGGCTGTGTCTTGTCTACAACCTAGTGCGCGGATCCGGGCTCGTAACTGTCACGTTATGAGACTCATGTTAACTAAGCTTCTTGATAAAATCATTATTGTTCGTTGTTGCGAGTGCTGCAGACGGAGCAGCTTTCTTTTTAATACCAAAAAACTTCCTTTCGTCCGAATCTAACTTTCGGCTAAGTTTAGTCATGATAGCCGACGCTATGACATCCAGCAATTACTCCAAGCTCTGCGACTTCAGTCTACAGAGGCATTATCCGACAAAACGACTCCTCCTGGATGGTCACGGCTCGCACCACACAATCGAATTCATCACATATTGTGAACAACACAATATTGTACCCTTTGGCCTTCCACCGAACCTGGCACACTTGCTTCAGACACTTGATGTTGTAGTATTTCAGCCATTGAAGCACTACCACGCAAAGGCTTTAGACCTCATTGTACGAGACGGCGTTAACATCTCCAAGCTCGAGTTCTTGGCTGTTATCAAGGGAGTCCGTCCCCAGGCTTTCAAAGAGAGCACTATACTCTCTGCATTCCGGAAGACCGGCATTGTACCCTTCAACCCCCTGCTAAAATTAAGTTAAATACTGCCATTGCGTTTGTCATCTCCTATCCACAGACAAGCTTAGGGTGCTTGCGGCCGAACCAGTCATCTGCACAAAGCTTCTGGGTCAGGTGGCAGTAGAAGCAGCTTAGGCATGTATATCACTGTTGCCGTGCCTTTTTGGCTCCCTCGAACATCCAGCATATCTGGCAGCCAAGCTTCCCTCCAAGCCCCTCGATCCTCTCCAACGCGCTTAGCTGCTCCATGCCGCGTGCTGCTCTGTTCTCAGCGGATACTCCAACTAACATCGAACACTTCACCGAGCTCCCATTGCCCATACTACAGGCACTCAGATCCAGTCGCGACCAACTGAGGAGTGCGCGTCACGTGCTAAGTACTGTACCTGAGAAGCCGGACAACAGTCTGATGCTTCACCACACCTCTTTATCTGCTCCCTCATCCACTAGAAGCCGGGCAACAGTCTCGTGCCCTGCCCCGGCGGCGACATGCAGCGATGTTCGACCATACCCATTCTTAGCTTCCTTATCAGCTCCGTAGTGAAGTAGCAGCCGGACAACGCCTCTAGCTGCGCTGTCTAGCAGCGTGCTGCCGAACTCGTCCTCAGCCTCCTTGTTGGCTCCCTGGTCGAGCAACAGCTGAGCCACAGCCTGGTGGCCTTCCGTGCCGGCGACATATAACGGCATGCGACGATACGCATTTTTAGCCTCTTTGTCGGCTCCTTGATCAAGCAACAGCTGGACAACGGCGCCATGCCCTACAGTGCGGCGTCATGCAGCGGCGTGAGCCCGTACCTGTTCTTAGCGTCCTCGACTCCCTGGTCCAGCAAGAACTGGGCGATTGCTATGTGCCTGCCCTAGCAGCGACGTGCAGGGGCGTGTGGCCGAACTCGTCCTTGGCGTCCTTATCAGCACCCAGGTCCAGTAGCAGTCGGGCAAGTACCGCGCCTCTGTCTTCGTCCGCCAATGCCGCCTGGTGCAAGGCAGTCCTGCCATGGTGGTTACGAATGGTCGTGTTCGCACTGTCCCACAGATCCCGAACCAGCCATGTTCACATCCGGCCCTGCTTCAATCGTCACACCTTAGAAAGAAGAGGTTCTTACCTCATCGTGCTAGTAATTCTGCTTTGTAGATATCACTATTGCCATAGTCATTCGACGATGCTTGAATGGCTAGCACGTCTTTCTTTGGTGTTAAAAAGTTCTCATTAAGCAACCCACAGGTTTGGGGCTTTACTGCTCGGCTTCGTGGCTGGTTTGTGCCTTTCGTTATCTGTTGATGTTTTGGTGTGGATACCACAGATAGAGGGCGTATGGGTGAATTGCATTTAAAACGTCATCGTTCAGTTATCTCGTATGCACTTGAGCACAGCATCTGAGAGAAGCCATTCTTCATAGCTTGCAATTGAGGTATCCAGATTCTGAACGCTAGCAGGTGAGATATTCTCGTGGTTTCTTGCTCGCTGTTCGGCGATGCATCGTCTAGATTTGCGATGATGGTTGGCATTTTGTTTGTGACGATGCGACCTTGCTTTTCGAAGCTTGCGTGGTGGGATAAATTCATCATCGCTGTCTCTTCCTTCGCCTGCGAGTTTTCGAGCTTTGCGACGTCGTCGCTTGTTGCTACCGCCAGAGGGGTTGGGATTTCTAGGCCTTCCTTCTGTGTTATCCGTGGCGGTCATGGGATCTGCTAGTTACCATGCATGTATAACCGACGACAACTTGCTGATCACACAGACGAGTACTGCCGAAGTGCCTACCCCCGGAACCAGGATAAGGATGAAAAGAAAAAAGAAAAGATCAAACATTAAGGGGCTAAGGCGCCATAGCATAAACACCGACCTCTCCGCCATGGCTGGATGGATGTGTCATTCAGCTTCAGCAACTTTTTTAAAGGCCACTCAAGCAGTCGTCGAACAATGCCTCGCCGAGCGATTCCTGCGGAGCAGAAAGAAAATGTCGCCCGCTTGCGCGAGAAGTACAAGAACGACCCCTATGTCCAGGTCGCTGGGGATCGCACCACTCGACCAAATGTTGCTAGCGATCTGCACTCCCGAGCAAGTCATCAATATCAGTCCATGCAGAAGCTAGAAAGGCACACGGAACGGGCCCATGTCGCGCAGCAAGTTGGAGACACTAGAGCTGTGTCAATATCGTCTACGACCCCCGGAGCTAGTACACCTCCCACACAGCTTCCGCCGCCGCCCCCAGCACCATCACAGCTCCTAGTCTCTAGAACGACTGAAAAAGGCGTGCGAGACCCTGCAGCTGAGGACGTGGAGGAGTGCCGTACGCCCTCCAACCAGTCCAATATGCTTTATCCTGCTGTTTCTGTCGACCAAACAGGAAAGCCTAGTGTCGAAGACACCAGAGCGCATCGTGAAAGAATCTTGCGGGAATCGATGGCTCAAGAAGCCACGGAGCGAGAGAGAAACCCTATTATCAATAATGCTGTCAAAACCTACGAAGCTCCGAGCAAGTTGATGCCGTCGCCAGCCAACTGTCCCTTCAACAACAGACTTCGTCTGCACTAGAGGCTCCTATTATCTCTGGAGCGGTGACCTCACGACTCATCACGGACCTCACTTTCAGGCCACGACCACAAATTGAGCAAACGCAGCAAGAAAGACACGGTAAGAGCCCAACAAAAGTGCCACCAGCTCCTGCAGTCGAACATGCGGAAGCGGCCAACCCCATAGCCGCGCCAGCAACGTCTGAGGTTGGCCGAATTGATCGCCCATGTAACAGCGGGAGACGGCTCCAAGACACCTTGGAGCATGCCACTAGGCTGGAGGCAGACCGAGCTCAGCGTCGGCGAGAACGCGAGCTTGACCAACTGTTGCGGGCCTCGAAAACTCGGACAAAATCCAACCAAGTCAAGGACAGTTCTCAGCAACCGAGTATTCGTCGACAAGATGCCAGCCAAAGGAGTCATTTTGCGACCAAGCCTGCGGCCAAGCCAGCGACGTCGCGAACAGGGGCCCATACGGCAGCGAACAACGCAACGCGGTCGGAGCTGCGAGTCGAGCTACCAGTGCGAAGGGTACAAGAAAATAACGAAACTATGGAAGACGTAATCGCTGTTACTGCTAACCGACCGCGACAAGCTACAGCTGTGACGATATCCTCTACGTCGTCCAGAGAAACTACATCGACTACTGCCACGGAGCGTGCAGAGTTTCTGACCCCCCGGCCACCACAATCACCGCCTCCAGTCTGGAAAGCGACCGATGCGTATTCTTCTTCTTCAGCGAGCCAAAGCGAAGAAGGCAGCAATAGACGCTCCGGAAATGCTTCTGAAGTTACCGAAACGCCTTCGCCCAGTCTTCCAACCGAGGCACGCCCGCAAACCCCAAGCTCGATGGATAAGGATGAGGATGAGGATGAGGACGAGGAGAGTTTAGCCTCCCCATCACGGAAATTGCCACAACATCATCACATATCGCCGATTAGCGGGTTCCATGAGTCAAGGACAACATCCCGTGACCGGGCTAAAATTCGAGCCCGAGAGTCGTCCATACTTGACATAGAGGCTTTAAACATTCGTGACAAGTCATCACTGGCCTCCACAACATCGGAAGAAAGTGTGGGAGATAGATCACTGATACCTGCCGGCGAGGCCGATTCCGACTATCGACCTTCCTCGCCAATCCCAATTGCGGGCGAAGAATCTGAAGCATCAACTATTGGTGCTTTTGGGCCGGACTCAGGACCAGCTACTCCGGCATCCAGCCGGCATACAAGCGATCTATTCTCGCCTTCCGATCCTACCGTATCTCATATGTCCATGTTGAGCTCCCCAGGCATGTCTAGCGCGTCAAGTCCGTCAAAATCAGATGGCAACAGTACCCCAACCAGCAGACCGCGCCCCGGAGGAAGCCACCGAGTTCTCGATCGATATCTTGGTGCCAATTTTGACCAAGAAACGCGGGGCGGTGCAGATTTCCTTGCTAAACAGGGCAAGGTGTACCAACAAGTAATTCGGACCTTTTTCGATATCAAGTGCGACTGTAAGTTTGTTGGTATCACCGGCCAGTTTTTATTATTGCGTTTTTATTCTGTATAGTTATCATACCTGAAAATACCCCTGCATTCTTGTCACTCCGCCACCAAATTACGCTGCCTAGGGTACCTCAGCTGTCACCCACGGTCCTTGTCACTTGTTCCATTCATTTCACCGTGTGAGAGTGCGCAGGGGTTTCATTTCTGATGCAAAATTGACTACCTAAATCTATGCTAGTGCTTGCGCACAGTGCAAAAGTTCATTTGAACAAAACAATTGTATTAAGCGATTAAGAGCTTCTTCTGGCACGGCCAGGCTAACTGGTACATATGAAACCGTAAACCCTCCGCATGAAATAGCTTCATGGGGTTTCTCCAACTTTTGCAAGAAAGCAGGCGGTATAACAGCCTTATAAAAGTACGCCACGCGTGCCCGAATAAACGGGAACGCAACAGCATACACCTTCTCTGCTACATCCCCGTCGTCAGACGCAACATCCTTTTTTCTTTCTTGTCGTTGTTTCTGTGCCAAGGAAATCAAAACACCTAGGATATAGGGATCCTCTGCTTCTACTGCCGGCTTGAGACGCTGCAGCTTCTTATTCTGGAGTCCAGCTACCGGTCCGTTTGGGATTTGGACTTTTCTCCGTTTCAGATATAGGGGATTCCTTTGCCAGATATATTCGTTTCGAAGCGCTCGTACAGTCCCCAGGTTGATACATGCCAACCGTCCTAATCCGGATTCGGCTTTGAAGATACCGTCTGTTAAAACACGTGCAGCTTTTTTTCCGCCGTAACAAAGTTCCAGGCGATTGGTCCTGTTTCCATGCCATTGAGTTAGTTACGAATGTAAAACACAGATGCTGCTCATTGCATTTTTCGGATGACCAACTGACCTCTCAAGCTCCTCGAGTTTGTAGTGCTTCAGAATTTCACCCATGGCGATCTGTTGCACCTCTGCACTCTCACATCTGAGTTGCCTTGCTGCGCGTAGGACTTCGTGCTTAATCGGCACGCCCTCAACTCGAAGACTGTGCTGACAGGCATCGAGGCGAGGGTTAAGATTGAATTGCACATTTAATACCATTAGGTGTCTGCAAGTCCAAGCAATAGGCTGAACATACAGGCGAGTTCTGTTGTGTTCCCTCATCGCCGCGCTTAACGATTGTCGTACAAACAGTTGGTCGCAATCACCGTCCGTTGATGTGCATGTCGATGTTGATGATATTATTGACGACGCGGATGGTGATGTGGACGACGCGGATGGCGAGGGCGAGGTGCGACGGCGCTTGCTCCAAGAACCGGGGCGGCCAGCACGCTTGCGCTTCAGTTCATTGTTTGGGCTGGTTTCGGCTGTTTGCTGCAACCGCCTTGTCGTCCGTAGCAATGGCGGAGATGCAGCCATGATGATGCTGGTTTTCGAGTTGAATTGAAGGCGGAAGGATACGCGCCTGCCAACCGCGCCCTGAAACGAAGCCAAGCTAGCCGCTGATGTAAGCCTGATCCACGCGCTACCCCACCCAAATGCCGCCCCTAAACATCCACATTTATCCGCCATCAATCAATCATTGCGCATCAATCATTGCATGAACGCTTGGAGGTTGATTCATTCTTTCAAACTCACTTTTGTCGTGCGGCACCACAACCAATCTCGCTCCAATTATGGCAACCCATACTTATTCAGCTCAGACACGTGAGGACCTTCAGAAACTCTCATCAGAACACAAACTGCGTGTTATCTCACAGCTTCCTGAACACGAGCAGGCTAGCTCCGCCAGTAACTGGACACTGCGGCACATTATCGTTTATAGACTCCTCATAAAAGGACCCGAGACAGATTTCCTGAAAGTTTTTAATATTGAACATCGTGAGGCTTGCCCGCATTGCCTCCCCGACGGGCCTTCATCGCTGGAATTGGACAGTCGCCAGGTCCAGAACCTACTGGAGATCAAACCTTTCGTTCTCTTAAAGACGGAACGCGAATTGTTGCAGAGTCCCGGCGGATTTTTCTTAGTTGCGTTGGCACAAGCCAGTCATGCGGACGTGAGCAATGCTCCCAGAACCCAGCCCGAGCGCGAAAGACTTGCTGTAAAGTGGCCCGACTACGCCAACTCGTTAGAGGCAATTGTAGGCTCCTCGTCGCCAACCCGTCCGTCATCATCTTCCGATTACGAGTTGGAACCCGGGCATATGGACGAAGATGAGAACGAAACCCATCGCACAATACCGGAAGTGATAGCTGTTAACCTGGCTGTTAACTTCCTTCGCTACGTGCTACAGCTTTGTCTAAAACAAGACGATGTTGAAGAGGAAATTCGCGCGCGTACAAGGAGTATGAGAGGTCAGGCAACTGTTGCCGGAGTAAAGAACATCACGTTTGAAGATGATGCAGGTATATCTAGATATACTCGAATCGCTGATGGCTGGAGATTGGCGCATCCATACCTGGCCTTAATCGAGGCGAAGCGGGCAAAGGACATCCGTATAGACCCTCGCACGGGTAGAAGTAGCCCAGTAGTATCGAACGATACGATAGCCCAATATCTGGGTGAAGCTGTGCTAGCCTGGCGAGCAAATAGAGACCTCCTAGGTCGGAAGTTAGTATCACTCTGCTATTGCAATGGTCCCACCTATCGATTTGCTGACGAATTTACTAGTGTGTTTCTCATAGCCATCAGCAATACGTTCATACGATTTATTCATTTCAGTTTCGGTGCCGACTATGACGAATACCTCGATGCCACTACTAAAGCGGATCAGAAGCGTTTAGTTGAGAACAAGAAAAAGGACACATTCGTGCGCATGCATCGAACTAAATGGTTCGACTTGCGAATGAGTGAAGGAAGAGAAATAGCGATGTGTCATGTTTTGATGCTGGTGTGGTGGCATGCAAACCAAGGCGCTGATGTGGTGGTGTCAGACGCAGAAATGTCAGATCTCAGTAGCGATGAAACGATGCACTCAGACGACAATGACGAATATGATGATTACGATGATGATGGTCACGACGACGATGATGATGATTACGAATATAATGCTGGTAGCAGCTCGGAATGACAAACTACAGATAGAGCATATTGTGGGTAGGTGTGTTTTTGAGAGGGAGGGTAACCGTGAGAATTCGTAGTTTAACGTGGCATATTTACATGCTATCTCTAGTTACAACCTCTGATGTTGAATAGTCATTACTAAACGACGATGAATACCACAAATGGATATACCGTTGATCCACCAGCAGCTGTGGGCATTACCTTTGGCATTGTCAGCTCCGGACTTGCGCTGTTCACAATAATCATTTCATGGCGCCAATTAAAGCTTTCAGCCTTGATGACTGTGACATTGCCGATATTCCCACCAATTGTAAGCACCTTTTAGCAAATATACCGCTTGTACAAACACTTTGCTGACCGTCGTGTCAACTGGCCATCCAACGACCCACGGCACCTGCCGTCCATCAAAGCTCACTCACATTCGATGCGGCTCCTCAATCGGAAGAGGGAAGACAGGCACATATTAATATCACTTAGCTGCCGTGTATTTTCAATCAGAAACCTTAACGTATACCGACCAATTATATCTTATCGCCTATCGTCTATTAATATATGGCCACCTTCTGTCTTGGCGCCTTGTGCTTGTCCATGCCATTGCTCCCTCCCAGATCTGCCCCCGAGGACCAACTGTGGGGCACTCCAACGTCCTAAACATTCCACCAGACCCTCTAATATAATAAGAATAGTGACAGTCTGGCTGGTCATGTAATTGAAACCGCATGGCAATGCCGTCTCTCAATTCACGACTACCTTGGCGTTTGCCGTACAAATAGTGCAGCTGCCTTCCAACCCATATTTGCACGCTGTTGCTCAGCAGGCTGCCCCATTCCACCTTCCACTAGAACTACTGCAAGAAACCAGTCGTTCATCCCCTGCAACCACCTCGCCCTAGCTCGATCCCCAAATTAAATTCCATCTTGGCTCTCTCCAATAACTAGAGGAAACCCTTTCCTCACAGTGATAAGTGACTTGGGGTTTAAAAGTACTCGGTTTGATTCGGTGTTCGGTGAGACAACCAGAACACCCGTGTCGACTGACGCTCGAGCACCAGTGCGGGGAGGAGGCATCGCACCGATCGGGCCGCTGATATCACCAAACGGCCAAGCAGCAAACTCCGGTGTGCCTCGCAAGATCCGGATATCACCAAATCGGTTAGGTCCGGTGTTGAAGGACAAGAACGGGTCTCGGGTTGACAAGGAGTTGACCGTGGACCGCAAAATTGTTGAGAGGCTCATCTGTGCTTCTACTTCTTTCTTCGTGGACGCTGTAATCCACTGTGCTAGCAAAATCATCTGCACCGGCCGCTGACGGAGAACGAATTTGATGCCTTGTGGTGGATCGCACGACAATCCAACTGCACCAAGGGCATAACATGTTCAGATCCTTCGTGTGTTTATGGGCACATGTTTTAACTCTGTGAATAGAGACGGATGGGGAAAGCACTTACGTGCTTATCCTGGGTGTATTTGTGGCGGCATACGGAAATTTCGCGTGAAGAGATGAGCGGCGCCATCCAAAAGAAAACTGGGCATGTTATTTGCCACGGGGTTGTTGTTTGCTGGAAGAGCCAAGAGTCAAAGGGTGACTCAATTGTTGGTTCATTGTCAGTGCGTTGTCTAACGGCCGTTCATCGGGCCTAGGTTGTGGTTGTGGTTAGGTATGACGTCGTATATTGCGGTAGGCGGTTGGTCTTCGAGATTCATCTTGGATTGATGAAAAGGTAGTGTACAGAGTGGTGTACGGGTATGATTTGACTGGTGTTCAAGCAAGAGCAGGATCAGATTATTGCGGGTGGTCGCTTGGGCGGTATTCCAAGTCGAATCTCACATTCGAACAACGCTGAAGATGTGCTGAGATGTGGGAGCAGGGATGGATTGTGTTTCAACAGAGACAAGTCCGGCTTCGAGAGACAGTCTCTAAGTGTTAAGGATTCTAGCTTGAAAGAAGAGTTTTTTTATTCTTTTTTATATAGTTAGTTATTACTTTGGCAAAGTTTATGCTGGACCCACCAGGTCATATATTGAGCTCCTATGTATGTATGTACAGTGGGAGCATTTTAATGACGATGCAACCTCACATTCTCACCAAAACTCACGAAGTTCAACGCATAGCATATTATTGCACTGGGTTCCTATGTGGCCATATCCTTGACAGTTAAAGCATTGCCTCAGTTGGCACAACCTGTCGTACAACTCACACTGAAAGAGCTCCCCTCGCCAGATAAGATCTTCGTCAATGATCTTGTTGGCGTCTTGAGGTCTCGTAAACTCGATGATGATTGAGGAGGAAGCAGTCTTTGCAGCAGATGTCCTCGTGAGCCATCCAATATATTTTATTCCGGCATTGGGGATGAAAGGTCTATTTTCCTGCAGAATGTCGTCCCTGATGTCTTTCGAATCGGCTCATATCCATCGACTTGGCGCGGAGAGCGTGCACGAGGACACCGTATGTAGGGATGCGAACAGTGGCTCCATTACCGAGCCGGCGCTCCCAGTCTTCAGCGAACTGTCGGAGTGCTTCCATATCGCCGGCCGAGACCGTCTTGATGCTAAGGTCACCGCTTTTGAGTTGGTTAGTTGACATTGTCTTGATGTTTTCTATGTGCTTGTTTTTGCTTTGTTCTATAGAACGGTCTACGTGTGCTTTCAAGCTACGGGGATTCATCGCCCGTAGGCTCGATATGATCAGCGGGTTCCGAATATTCACTACGATCTCACGGAGCACTTGCGCGGGAGATGCCTTGTATTGGTTCAGTGGATTATGTATACTGTTGCAATATTCACAACTTAATATCACGTGTAACATCATGTGTAGACCCGAAATAGGGTGAGACACCATGGATAGATATCGTGATTACCAACGCTCCCCCTTTTTCCTCCCTTGAAGAAGAGATAGACTTGAATTGATATTACACCCCTGTTGCAGTACTGCATCCCCAATTGCCTTGTGATCCCAACATATACTAGCAGCTAGTCCATTTCCTGCCGCTGCAGATGCATAAGTCCATATCGGGCTCGGTCGATTGTGCTGGTCTGCGTTCTTCATCTCTCATCATCACCATGACCGTTCTGCCTATGTCCGTCGATTCTGAGCCGCGACCTTAGTCTCATTCTGTACTTCGTGGATCTAACAGATTCCTTCCAATGTCTGCTGACCTGTGTTAGCTGCCTGTTTAAGTTCTTTCTTGATGTCGTCGAGAGCCTGCATCGTGCTTTCCACTGCAGTCTTCGATTCGGTTCTCGCCATCTGAAGTGCGTCGTGTACGGAGCTGAAGTCTAGGAAGTTGTGAATCTTATCGACAAGGGATAGTGCGCTCATGGCTATGATCTTGATCAGGTCATGGGGAACAGGTTGGTCTTTCGCGCGTTCGATGCACAGCAGGGCGTCCCTGGGGTATTTGCCGAGTTGCGTGGCGTGCTCGCGGAATCCGGCGGGCCATGCCAACTCTTAGGGCCACGGGGCCGCCATGATCGTCTAAAACGCACTGGGCGATGCGTTTGACTACAGGCTATTCAATTGACCCGTCGGGGAGGCGTGTAAGTGCTGTTTGGAGCTGTTGTTTCAAAAATTCGTTCTCACTGTTGTGAAAAAGTTTTTTTTTTTTTTTTTTGCCTCTCACACTAGGTATGCAAGGTTAAATTCCATGATAATATTCAACACTGCCTGCAACCTCCAAAAGCCTACTTAGCTGCAACATCCATCCTTCGGGTGCGACCTGTGTACGTACCTGCATACCTAGTTGCAGACACATACCTTGGTACCCTTTTGTTCAGTACACTGGCCTCCAGGTTTTCCAATCTTAGAGCAGTGGTCGTCACAGCACAAACCGCCGACGGGGTCTGGAAAGCTGCAGCAGATGCTCCTTGTTTCGAACACCTTGCCCTCCGCGGCCTCGTTGACTATTCCCTCCTTGGGAACTCTCTTAACGGATCTTGTTTCACCGTTACGAGCAGTTGCGCGACGTTCCACGTCACGAGTATTTATGAACTTTTCAAGAGCCGCAGTAAACCTCGCCTCGCCATTAAATTTCTCCTGGCCCATCTCACTTCGCTTAGTTGCTCTGTCACACACGCAAATCTGATATTGAGGACATTCAGTATTTTTCTCACAATGACCCCCTCGGCCAACCTCCCTCACACAGGTATTGTGGCATGCGTTGCCTCCGAGAGTGCAAGAGATTGAAGGCAAACATGCCGTAGCATGTCCAATCCCAAAAAGCGGAAGAAGGCAAGTGGTAAATCGCATGGTTGAAGAATTTGAAGTGACTCTTGGCTTTGACAAGATGGAGTATAGCAGATGATGAGAAGGAGAGTGTTATGGAGCATGGAATCAGTGGGATAGAGTAGGTCCAGCATACCTATTTATAGGCGGCGTGCTCGCTACGCCTGTATATCAAATGGTTTTTTAATGTCGGGTTAAAAGCGAGCTCGTCTTACCCGGCTCTGCAGCATTTCTGCTTTGTGAGTGTGGTATTGTAATCACATGAACGATTATGGACTGACATCAAAAGAAAGTGATTAATGATGATCTTGTGAGACACTAATGTTAGATGTTGACAGAAGCCCGGCAGCATTAACACACTGGTTGCTCTCGAATCCGGACATGGTAAAGATTAACATTGGCTGTCAGTCGTATTAACCGCATAGCCTGTTTACTTATTTGACGAAACTGCTATTAACATCTGATACGCAATTTGCTCACAGTTCAGTTTTATGTAGTGTAATATGTGTTCGGTCTGGTGGCAATTTTTGGCGCCACTTCGTAATCCGGCTCAAACTTCAAGCCACGGTGGCCAAGATCTTCGGTAAGATCTCCTAACTAGGCCAGCGGGGTCGCATCGCACTTGGGCTTAAGCCGTCATGTTCGGCACGGCCACGGTCAAGATGCCCAACATTCATGGGCCACTTTCACTGGTACATAGTCCAGGAGGGGGTCTCCGAATACCGGCGCGGATCTGCTTCTACAAAAAGCTGTGCCGCATTGCACTATATAGCGTTAACTAATAGGGACTATAAATATAGAATAAAGCTAGAAACTCCATAAACTTTGGGCTTGCGTAAGGAACACACAAGGAAGTAATCTGACATACCTGCTCGCTGGTCCGGGGGTCTGTCGGGTCATCGGAACACAGAGGACGTGGAACAAGAGGGAAAGCGATCGGCATTAGCTATGCGAACATCAAAGTGGTTGGTCAGCAACGTCATAGAGGATACTAACTGAGACAGTAACATATAGGATCTTCGAGGAGCATATACGAGTAACGAAGTGAAACATTTATACTTAGTCGAAAGGCGAGACTCGAGTAGAGGGCTCTAGTTATGAAAACGGGATTGAGGTGGTGCCGAACATCTCCAAACTTCACATTAGCGGGGAAGATGTAGGGTACGTGGCGGCACGGCCCGCACCCCTTGGTGTGTAAATTTCGGCGAGCTACTCCACATCGAGCTCTGTCGCCGACCAGGGCCGTGACATAGCAATCTGACACGGGCAAAATGTCAAGTTCAAGCCGCTCATTCAAGGCAACAGTCATTGCTATACTGCTGCCTGCCAGGCAGCAGTATTACAACAAGTATTTAGTTTCGTATCATTCTACTCTTTTTATAGGAAATCAAGAGTCTTTCATTTTGTCTAAGCTGCATTATACAATCGTGCTGTGTGAGAGGCAAAGGCACTGAGCACTGTTCGGTACAAACAAAAGGAAAGGCGACAGGAGCTGGCCGTAGTTGTGTGTGGACGCGTTGGCGCAATGCTCGCCCTCTCTGAGGTGGCAGACGGGGGAGGGTTTTGTTAACGAAGATGGTTCACTTAAACGACTTAGCAGCGGCGACCACAACCGACCCTCTCCACTGCCGACGGCGCGTCCTCCGCTTGACGCGGCCTAAGGGTGCTGTCCGCCGCAGATTCAATGTGACTAATTCATGACAGCGTGCAAATTCGACGTATCACATTTTGGTGGGAGAGATGTCCCCCGGCCTACACCCGACGGCCTGGAATAGTTGGTGAGCTGCGTGTGATATTCCACCACGAACAACAACATTCTATTGGATGAGAGGGGCTGGGGTAACTGCAGTCAGGCTCCAACTGTTGCGCTAACCCTTCAGTCAAATCTAGCACTTGCTCTTCCGCTGGACCCTTGGAGTAGGTACCATTTAGGTTTCGGACATACATCAAACTTTTTGTCAAAAGACCGCATGCGGAAGTCGTGCCCGGTGCTGGGCATCAAAGTACCACGCAGGTGACAGATCTGTTTTGCTGTCGGATGGTGAAGGCCTGTCCTTGCCGTGCTCCGCGAATGCGCTGATCAATTGCTCCAACAATGACTCCTGTCAATGATGTGTCCAGGTTTTGCAGCTCTTGTCCTCCCGCTCATTCAGTCATTGCTAACTGTTGCACAACTGGATTTGCATAATTCCGCAATGGTACTTTATCCTGTTAGGACCCCGAATCGACAGCAACAGGGATGCAACGTTTAGACAGCCTATGACCAAGACCCGGCATCGCGGTCGCGCAGAAATTACACATGCTGCTATTATGCCTGCCGGAGAGATGACAGCCATGGAATTTTAGCTTAATGGTCAAACGGATTTATCCCGCACCTAGCCCTCACGCCTCCTCCTTGAAACTTGACGATTTATTTTGTCACAAGGCTCCAACACAGCGTCCGGAACCTTGCTAGGACGCACCGTCGGTCACGGATCTACATGGCAACGGGCAGAACGACTTCGTAAAACCTTTAGACAGGGAACGTTACATCCTAGTTTATGTCGTGTCTCAATATTTTCTGTAATACGGAACTAATCCATCACCTCGGCGAGGTATTTCTTAGACGTGTCTTGAATCGGGCCTGATATGTGATTAAGAGGTGTGAGGGGATTACCAAGCAGGCCGTGGGGCGTCGGCATTCATTCGCTCCCCAGCGACAGGACTCCTTTCTCATATGTAAACTAAACGATGTGCTTTGAGCCTACATCGCCGCGCCAAGTATCGTGTCCCATGACTGGTTCTGTGCGTTCGAACGGATCACAACCTGTCGACCGATGCTCTACATGTGGTCAGACTGCATTAACCCTCATCATCAAAACAAAGGAATGATAATAGCCGAAGTTACACAAATCATCCATACAGCAGACATGCTCATGTCACGTTACGAGACTCATTGTCACCCAAGCTTTCCTCACAAATTCATTGTTCCTGTTGTTATTAGCCTTCTTTTTTCCTGCCAGACGAGTTCATCAGGGTGGCTGGCCAGCCTTTCAAACTTCCGACGTCTATGATTTTATGACATCCAGCAATTAAGTCAAGTCTGCTTGTTCAACAACAGAGGCAACTTTATCCGACAGCTCAAGGCAACCAGGTGGGAAGGCCGAGTGGAACTGAGCAACCGAATATACTCCCATGAGGTGCAAAAAGAGTCATACCAATCTCTGGCTTCACTAGAGGCGTAGCTCTCTGTTGCAACAGCTAGAGTTGCCAAGCTTTGTAATGCCCTCTTGCTGTTGCGCCATTTGGTGAGATTAGTTGTTCGTGTCCACGTCCGAGTACACATTAACACATCATGGAAACATTTTCGTTTTAATCCGCCGCGTCCTGTTCATCGCGCCTGTTCATCGCACTTATAGAGACAGACCCATCGGTTGGATTGACTCCCCAAGTGGAAGTCGTAAGTCCAGCAAGAAGGCGGGCAACCAGATGCAGGGTCCCATCCCGCAGATGTTTTAAGTACACATGTAGATTACAAACATCATTGTTTCATTTGACTCATCAAAGATCATGCATTGTTCGCGACAAATGAAATTCGAGGAGAGGACAGGAATACACACACGCCCAATATCAGCTACAAAATTATCGTTCTAGGAAAACGTGACAGTTACAGCTGGGGCGGCGATCAACTCAATCCACCCACGCCTGGGGTTGACGGGAGATTATTGCCTCTCAACTCCATCGACACCCCGGGTTACATTTACGTCGCAATTCGGACAGTACCAACAATTGTGTCTTGCCGTCGAACTCGGAAGTACGTTCACAAGTGTGGTTACGCCCCGGACGGATCCACCCATTTACGCCGTTAGGAGATGAAGGTGGGAGCTACCCGCTGGCACCGGCTAGCTGGCACTAATGCCAAAATCGTCGACGCCTCCGACGTTGCATTACCGAATGGGAAAACAGCACCCCCGTCCCTGGTAGTTGCGGTTCATCGGCAGAGGGCCGTGCAACCTAGTCAACAATCTCTTATTGCCGTTGGTGGATGGTCCCATGGCTGCCCAAGTCAACAGATCTGTCCGACAGTCAATGATTGGCGAGTTGTCGAATCTGGTCTGACAGAGATGCGAGGCAAAACAGGAGACATACATGGATGTCTGCTTCAAGGCCGGCAAGCCAGAAAGTTCCGAAAAATATGAGTAGAGGAAGTACAAAGTACGGTATAAGGTTACTGGCTGCATCACTGGGCGTTGAGGTTGTAGATAAAAAATGTGGCACTTATGAGGGCGGCCCTGGGAGAGCTGCCAGGGTGAGGCGGCATACCTCTACCTTCGCTCGAATGATTGCAAAGTATGTTGCAAGAGCCTTCTTTGGCCCCCACCGTGACTCCAAGGAGTACCAGCAGGGAGGAGGGCAGAGTGAAGTAACAAGGACTTCCAAACCAAAGGGTTTGGCTGCCGAAAATCCTCGGGTTCGTCGCTCAACTGCGGGCCCTTGCTTCTGTCAGGTTTCGCATTGGTCGGGTTGGATACAGGACGGTAGTTTCAACGATGACAGTGCCATCCATAAGCCGAAGTCTGCCTTGCCATTGCCAAGAGAGAATGGTCAAAGAGACCGGCGGACTGGGCTAGATTCGAAGTCCAATGCCATCCACAGCTTCGACATACACAGACAGCCAAGCTTATTGGGTATATAAACATGTCTCTGCGTCAGGAATCCCAAGATCATTATCAATCTCAACAACACTTATCTTCAGAATACTCTCAATCAACTCCTGACGCAACATCGGGTCACCTCCAATACACAAAAGTAAGATCAGCCTCCTCACCTGCAGCAGTTCCAAGGATATGTCCTGTTTACAAACCGCCGTAATTCTAGGTTTGTCGCGATGGTCAACGTACTCAGATACGTTGTCTACGCCATCGCCGTCGTGTCCGGCGTTGAGGCCTGCAAGAGGACCTGCGACATCGCCTCCGACAAGAACGGCTACTGCTACTACAAATGCACCGATGTGTGCGACAATGTGCCGGCCTCCCAGGCCCGCAGCAAGTTCCTTGCTGACCTTCGCTCGGATGGGTACTCCTGCTCAGGCGAAGGAAGGACGGTAGTGAAGTGTAAAAAGACGGGCCACTTCGGTGACTGTAACGATCACCATTGGTCTTGCGGAAGGGGCTGCTAAGCTAACAGCGAGGCATAAATTGCGGATGGGTTCTAGGAGACATGGAATATTAAGATCAAGTCGCTCATTCAAAGCAAGCACGATATGCTATTGCCTGGAAGGCAGCAATATTCCAAAGTATTTAGTCTTCGTATGATTCCACTCTTTCATGTAGTAAATTAAGAGTTTCTCGTTATCCAGTTATCCAAACGATCGGGCTGTGTGACAACAGGCATGCTGTGACATTTAGTAAGGGTAAAGAATGAATCCCGCAGGAGCGAGTATAAGGGCCTTAGTTACCCGTGCGATGTCTGCGTATGGTCTATGTCGATCGGCCGTAAGTCCAAAGGAGTTATACGGAGGTGGGTTTGTAAATCTTACCACTGGGGGGTTAGGGTGTAACGTTCCTTGTCGAAGTGCTTTCAACCACCAACCACTTTCTTCATTAACACCATCAGACATAATGGACAGACAATTTCCCAAATATGACGACAAGATATATAAGCTTTTGTTTGCTATGAGAAGTCCCGCTTATTCCTCTTTTGACACATAAGCAGCACTCAACATCACGAAGTTAAGTGTCTGATACCAGAGTCAAAGGGGCTTTTCCATGTCTTTACCACTGTATTACCCTATGTCGACAAGGCTGTTGTCACACAGCCCGATTCTCTGGGACAGCTTAGACAAAGTGGAAGACTCTTGATTTCCTACATAAAGAGTGGAATCTCACGAAAACTAAATACTTGTTGTAATACTGCTGCCAGGCAGCAGTATGATAATGGCTATTGCCATAATGAGCGAGTTGATCTTGACAGAGTGCATGACGTTCTCCCAGCAGACAGGTCAACCAATGACTTGGAAGTTAGGATCCGAACACAAGAGGTCCGAGATATCTAAGAAAAGCAGACATCTATAAATAAACTTGGCACGTGGGTCGAGGAGTCCATCAGTGACCATCTCTGGACGACCTGCTGCAATACTGAAGATACGATCCGCGTTTGGTACATCGGACCCAGGACGTCGGCCCTCAGCAAGGCACGCGACCGATAGCTGCGTGTGCTCCAACTGTCGGATAAGTATTGTAGCGTTGCGCGGCTGTGATCTTGTGTATTCATAACTGTCTGCCGAAATACAGGGAAAATTCCCCTCATTTATAATTAGAGAAACCTCCGTCCAGGGACGGAGGAGCCATCCCATTCCGGCGCGTGTTCTCGACGACGTCCTGTTCAACCTCAACCAAACGATCCAACTACACAACCGACGCGTATACCCCCCGCAGGCGACCTACAATATCGCGGAACAGATTAACAACTCCTACTCTCGATATTCCGAAGAACAAGTGAAGAAATGGAAGGATTCGGAAAGCAGTATTGGACGAGAGCTGGACTTGGGTACGACGCCAGCATTTGCGACCTACATTTCCCATTCTAATGCGATTTGTAGCTGCGAATGACGCAATTGAACTGCCTTCTTCGTGGCCAATTGAGAGCGACTTTGGCAAGTATCCAGAGAAAGCGCGCCAGCATGAAACCATTGTCTTGCGATTAACGCTACTAAGTGAAGAGCAGAAAGAGATTAGACTTCGTGTGGAAAAATTGCGTCGTATCAGGGACGCTGTTCAACCGCTGTCCGTTATTGACGAGAGCAGTGTTCAAGACAACCTGGTCACACGGAATGGGCCCGTGGAAGAGGGACTGGAGAGGATAAGGGCCTTGCTAGCACGAGTGACAAGTCGAGTGGCTGGTTTGCCCGACCAGCCCGCGAGCAATCGCCCACAATCTACAACAAGCTCAACCGTGGATTTGGGAAGGATGACCAAGTCTAGGAAGAGGAATATTGACAGCTTTCTCGCAGACCCCCGAGTTTTCCCGCCTTGAAAGGAAGGTTAATACCGCAAGTACGAACCGTCGTATACGAGTCGCCGGGCTATGCAGGCTATCAAACCATGAAGCATCAATGGCACCACGTATGCTGTTGATGACAGCCGCTCTACTCCTAATAAAATGCGTCAGAATACCCCACTACAGGTCCTGGGTCGTGTTGTAGCCAACTGGGCAGCCCACAAGACTCGAGAAGTGGATGGGGCTGTTATCTTGTCCGCAACACTCATATTCCTCCATCGCTGGTGGACCATTCTGACTCTTTGGAGCTAGAAATGCACTCCATGTAGTCGGTCTCATGACGGAAAACTAACTCAACAAGGCGACTTCACGCGATTGCAATGTCTCTGGTCACCTCAGCACTAAAAGATCTGGTAATTTTGCCAGAGGCGAAACTGACGCGAATGCAGTGCATTTCATTGGCACCGTAGCGTCTTCTGAAAGACCACAAACAGCTTCGCCATAGAGCAATGGGTTGGACAGCAAGGCATCTTTAAAGTGTACTTTCGGTCAAATTCTGAGTCACTGATTCACTTAAGTCTTATAAATAGGCGATGGGATTGTTAGAGCTTAATAGGAAAGAAGTGTTGGCGTCACTCAATTCATCAAGTTTATTCAAGCTGGCTAAATACATAACATGTTTATCCGTGACCCAAACGAAAGAAAACATCAGTCTGTAAGTCGTGAGTCGTGAATTCGTGAAAAAGTCATCATATACCGCCTGGTCTAAACTCGGTTGATGTCGGCGTTACCAAGTGGCACCCTAGCAACACCACGAGGAGAGGTTCTGGAGCCACCGTTGCTGGTCTGGCTCGATGCATCGGAAGACTTCTTGCCGAATTTATCTTCACCTGCAAAGTAGCTTGGGTCATTTTCATCGGTATGGGATTCATTCGCCGCCCGCTTGTAGGGAGTGGGTGGGAAGAGAAGTCGAACAGCAGGATCTTTGGCGGATTGAAGTCCAGACTGATGTTTCTTCAAAGGCGAGTTCTCTTGTGTATCGGGTGATATTGGTCTCTTTCTGTCGATTGTGATGGACCTTGATGCAACCGCTGTTTCCTGCCGGCGGAAGGAGCGGTTCGTCTGGTGGGGTTTGCGGCTGGGCGAGTTGGATCTGTGGCTGAATTAGCGAAGCTCCTTTTCAAAGCAGGCGAAAACAATTGCGATTACCGGTCTCGCTGTCTTGGCCATCGGATTTTGCGAGGTACGACCCAGATCGTCCGTCTGTAGATGGCGTGGGCAGTTGGAGAAACTGAGTGATGCTTTGTTGCTTGTATGGCGTTCGGAGCGGTTTCACCTTGTCTACCTCGTCGAAGTACAAGTACCTTTCGCATGACCCGTCTCCCCGCTTGTATTCGCAGGCCCAGACTTAAGGGTTAGTTTTGTTCCAAGTCGACAATGGTGCGCAGTGGCAACTTACACCCTTTTGGTATCCGAACCATGCGCTTCTTGTGCCGACATGTCGGTTCGTCGTTAACAAAAGCAATACCCTGATGGCAAGCCCGTAATGGATTCTTTCGCGGGGTCAAGGTGGTCATGATGGTGGCGTGGATTGGCTGCTGAGGTGAAATTTGTCTCTCGTGAGCATAGGTGGAATGGAAGAAAAGAAGATGCACCACCTTACGCGTCAGACGCGTCGGGATGGGCACCTCCTTCTATGGTGCTAGTGACTAAGCAGGGTCAGGCTTGTGCTGTCTGACGACGTAAAATGGGAAAGCAGCATGGTGTCTGTCTGCCTTGAACAGATGTCTCTCAATTGGGCAGACAGCCTCGGACAGATTGTAGGGCAGATGTCACATCAGTGACCAACGTGGATGGGCCAAGACTTGGATGAATGGACTACTGGGGCGAGATGGGAAGTGGGCGGACGGGTGGGAGATGTGAAGTCTGACGCCACAAGACGGGCAAAAAGGACAGCAACTACCCTGTACTAGCTGCGGCAGTGGAAAATGTGCAAGACAAGCAACCTTCCCTTGTATTATTACTTTCTTGGCATTTACTGTTAAGGAAGTACTCGAAACTACTATTGATTTGCTTAACATCACATAAAACCTCATTTTCTGCGCGTCGCGCAGTTGCGGCGGCGGCGATGGCGACGGCCACCTCCAGCCCGCCTTTGTGAGCCAGATTGGCTCGATCTCGGCAACTACACACCTAAGAATTTAGCTCGGGGTGCCCGCGCAGCCCTCCTTCGAGCCAGCTCACCCGTGGAGGTCACCGACATTGGCGTTTCACCCGCACGTGGCAGGAGCGCCCAAACGCCATCTTCACCACTCACCCGCATTTGCAATGCTGCTATTGCGGAAGGACAGCAGCTCGACGATTTTCCTGCATTGCCAACACCGACCATCCAGGAGCAGCAACACCTACCCATCGACATCACGGATGCGGCCAACCAGCTTGCGGACGAACAAGTTGCCGTCTACAACGCTAAACTAAAGGTCTTCCGAACCTTCTGCGCGCACTTTAACGAGGCGGCTAAGAAATTCCCATCCGGCCCGGAACGCGACTTCGCCCAACACTTCTCCAGCAGCTTTCTCGGCTTTTGGAAGCAGACACTCAGCAACTCCCAATCCGCTTCTGCGCCTACCTACAGCAGTGTAGCTGCCCACACCAGTTCTCCTCGCACTCCCACAGCCCCGACATACGACGCGCAGGCTTTTCACGCGCACCGCCAATCCGCACCCACACATCGCCAAGGGCAACAACCTGCGGCTCCTGCGCCACCCCGAGACGACCTCCGGGTATTCGTCCGCCTCGACGCCGACGCCCCGGCTAGGAACCATATTGGATACGCCATCCGCGCTCACGTTGCTAGCAAGACCGGTATTGAACTGAATCGAATCCCGCAAGTATTTCAAGTAAAGACTGGGTGGGCCATACGTGCCACAGACAAGCTCACACGCGACCTTCTTGTAGAGCGCCAGACAGAATGGGCTGCTGACCTCGGCGCAACAGCTGTAGAGACCAGCCAGAAATGGCACACCTACATTGTAGACAACTGCCCTCGTAGGCTCACCGATCTTTATGGGAATGAACTGAACTACGACGCTGCTGCCCGTGACGAGATCAACCATCAGACGGGACTTACGCCGGTCAGCGTTCGAGTCCCCCGTCGTGATAATGACCAACATCCATACAAAACACTTGTCATTTCCTTCTTAGAACCAACTAAAAGGCCTTGGAGCCTGTTTGGCACTAGCCGACTAGCCAGACTGATCGAAAGAACCAACCCTCCCAAGCAGTGCGAGAACTGCTGGGACTACCACACACGACATGCATGCAACAGACAAACACGATGCAAACGCTGTGGAAAGACTAACCACAACAGTGACAGCTGCACTGCCGCCGAACAATGTGCCAACTGCCTCGGACCACATATTGCGGACCTCACGACATGCCCGGCGCGGCCAAAGAGAGTTCATGGACTGCTGCAGCGTCTCCCCAAAGAACAGCGTGCGCTGATCAGACAAATGGGCTCTCAACTCTTCCAGCAACACCAGGCCGCACAACGACAGCCTCCTCAGGCGACACCTAACAACCATCCGGCACCAGAGGCCGTGGCAGAACAACAGCGTGCTCCAATGGCGGTCATGGAGCCGCCTCGGGATCATGTGAATCCTCAAGACCTGAGTACCTTCTTCACTTGCACCCTACCGGTCCTGCCGTCTTCTTCCCCGATGCGCCCCATGGCCGTGGAACTCGGACCAGAAACGGCGCGGAGACGTCCTCTGCTGACATCACCTAAGCGGCGCCGTG